CATTACATACAACTTAATTTGTGAAGAACTGCAACTGTCATTTTTTTAAAAAATGACAGTTAAAAAAAAATGTTGATTTTGGGGAAGTTCAAGTCTCATCGTTCCCTAGTAGTGGTATTTTAGCTTATTGCTCTAAAGTCAAACTGGAATCAAAATAGCATCTTTATTTCTGATGAAAAATTTGTAATTTGTCATTATTATTTTGTTATTAATAGGCACAAATGGTAACATAATTAATTCAAGATTTAGAATGTTTCAATGCTTTACTTCATGACTGTAACTAGAAGTAGTCGTCAACTTCCCTCATGTACTTTATTTATTCAGATATTCTTTGGGCAAATGTAAGAAATTATGGATATTTTTATGTTTCCATGCTTTGCTTACTTGCCTCAAACTATGATTTTTGTTCTAAGGTACTTGGTTTTGGGGGCCCACAAACAACAGGTAAACCATAACAAAATTTTGCAGTACCAGGTTGAATCATGTGCCTTGCCAAAGTGTAACCCTGTTGGTTATTCCCACTACTTATGCATCAGTGAACTTAAAGGAATGTCAAATCCTCTATATGTTAAAGGATGATAAATATTTGAGAGTGATAATATTAAGTTAAATTGGCAGTGTACAAAGGAATTAGCAGCAAGGCCCATATTTAAATGTCAAATAATGTTCAATAGGTTTTTTTCCCTAAAAATGTGTCCCTTAAGATTTCCTGGCTGTATTCCTTTTCCCACTTCAGTTGGACCTTTCTTTTGTCTGTATTTACCTTGTCCTGCTTAATTTTTATTTTCACTTTTAGCAGTTTCTTCTAATTAGGGGGCCTGTCCTGGAATGGAGATTTGACTGGTTGCTTTTGAAAATTCACTTTATATCTTTAGTGACCCAAATTGTTCCAGTCCCTTTTAGAACTGCCCAAGAACCCCTTCTACTCACCTACTCTTGGACTGAGGCACATTACTTCTGTTTTCACCTCCCATCTTCAAATTGGCCTGGTTCCAGTGAATACCTTTTGGGTTTTCCTGTTGATTATCTTTTTTCTCTCACCTAGACACTGGTACCATGTACAATCCGTTTGGTGTATCCATACCTGTTTGTGTTTTGGCACTTAAAGGAATAGACTATCAATTAGTTTTGCCACAATTGTCCTTTTTTTCAGTTTTTCAATCTACTTGCCGTACTCTTTTTTATTACTAGAAGTCAAGCATACCAAAAACTATGTTGCCACTCCCACTGCCCACCCAGAACTCTTCCCTAGGGGTTGCATTTCTTAATTTCCAAGTAGTTAATCTTGTTTTGGTCATATTTGAAATTATAGTTTTAATTTCATTTCATTTAAATCTGATAATATAGCCTACTCTTTAGATTTTTAATTATTTCTAGGCACAGCGTACATTGTCTACTTTAAAAAATATTATATGCATTAAAGAAAATATTTTAAAAATTTTCTATGTTTCTGATTATTTCTACTCTGTATTTTGTAACAGACTTCTTTTGAAAATTCAGTCTGTAGTTTGTCTCTACTTTCTCATGTTGCATATTCTCCTTATGTTATTCTGTTTATAAATCATCCAATACTTTCTTTTTGGAACATTTATTTTCCAATTGTGACAATCTTGGCACAACACACCTAATTTTCCACTTCTTTTTTTTTTTTTTTTTTTAAGTTCTAATAACATGGTGACCCTGAACCTTCCCTTATGGTTCTAAATGACATTTATGTTCTTTTGACTTCCAGATTTGTAAAGGCAACCTTTCCACTGAACTTCAATCTAGTACTTAATATCTATTTCTGAATGTTTAATAGGTGTTTCATTTTTAACATTTTCTAATCATGTTTTTCTTTTTCTTTTTTTCACTGATCCACATGGTCTTTCTCTACATTTCTTCTCAGGAAGTAGAAATGTCATCTTTCCAGTTGCTTGTGCGAGAGAAAACCTAAATAGTGATGCTTGATTCCTCTCTTTCATTCACCTGTCATGTCCACTCCTTCAGCAAGTCTTCTCACATTAAATAATATCTCCAACTACTTACTTTTGTCTTAATTACTACTACTTTTGTGCAGTTAGTATAACCTCATGACTAGAAAATTTCAATATCCTCCTCTCTTTTACTCCAGTTTTCCCCAACCATCTCTTTCTCACCTGTAAGCCGGGATGAATTTTTTTCTCTTGACAGTTACATCATGTCACTTCATAGTTCAAAACATTTCATGGGTTCCCACTGATCTTATAATATGTTCCAAACTCTTTATTATTTCCAAGGAGCTAGATGCCTTGATTTCTACTTGATATTCTGAATATATTTTCAACTATTCTGTTTCTTTCTCAAAATACTACAGCTCTTGTGACAGTCCTTAAACATGTCTAGCCCAAGCATCATCTTTATATTTGAGAAACCTTGAGCAACATATTGTTATTTGGTTTTTAATTGCTTCTTATTTGGATATCAGCTCGTATATCACTTCCTTAGTGAAACCAGCTCTCGACTCAAATTAGCTGTAGATCCTTATACTTCATATTATTTTTGTTCCCTCAAAGCACTTATCGCTGCCAAAAATTATAAAATCAATTTTTGAGTTTACCTGGTTATTTTCTCTCACTTGCTATTTGAAAGCAAACTCCAAGAGGATAGAAACTTTATCTTATTTACAATGATGTCTCAAGCACCTATACCAGAGCTTGCTTATTCAATATTTCTTTGAACATTTTTTTATGGTTTAAATGATTGAATAGATTAATTTTGTGTCTCATTGATCAGATAAGTTCTGAAAGTGACATGCCTATTAATAACTTCTTTAATAATGTTACCATTATCAAATTTCCTAGTATGTCCAGGCATTGTATTTTTACTTATTTAAACTGTGTTTTGGTGCATATAGTTTTATTATTGTTACATCTTCTTTGTCCCTATGTTTTATCTGACCAGGTTTTGACTTTGAGTTTCACTTATTTATTAATATAAACCAGTAGGCATTTTTGTTGTTGTTGGGGTTTTTTACATGCCTTTTATATCTATTTACAATATTTTATTTTTTGGATAAAAATGTGTCATTGTTCTAGATGTGTTTTCTGTTAAAAACATAAAGCTGAATTATACCTTGTAATCTACTGTGAATTTCTCTTTCTTTCAATGGGTATTCAGTCTGTTCACATTAAGTGCAATTGCTTATGTATTTTATCTTAATTGTTTAATTTTATGTTATATTTATTTTTTATTTTATTTGTTATTTCATTAGTTCTCTTGTTTATATATTTGCTAATTTATTCAAGCCTTTGTTCAAGCTTTGTTCAGTCCTTTTTTATTTAGCTATTTATCATCACTGTCTAAGATTTACTTTCTATTACAATTTGTCTTACTCAAACTAATTTTCTTTATTATGATTTCAAAATAATTATTTTTGAAGATTTTCCTGTTAGTTCTTAATTGCTGTATCCAAAGTTCTCTTACCATTGACTTAAGTTCTTGTTGACAATTTGCTTTGATAAGCTTCATTTCTACCACACTTTTATGAACAATCTGTTGGGAGAAAATTTATTTTTTTCCACCTTAAAGATATTTTTTTCTTTAGCCATTTAGGATACGTTCACATTTAACCAATCTCTTGTACCAATTAATAATCTCTCTTCAGTTTCTGTATAAGTGCTTTATAATTCAATTGCTTAGAAGCCTGTTGAAAATGAATGTTACAATAATTAAGCTTCACGTATATGTCGAAAATAATCATTTTTTTCTCAACTTAATGTAATTCTTTATATTATATAAGAAATACTAATATTTCTTAATTTAGAATGCTGTTTAAATTTCTTAATGTTCTTTTCTTTCACTGAAAGTTGGGACAATTTAAGGCTCATTTTCTTTGTTTTTCTTCATTCAGTGATTATAGTCCATTGACACTTACCAATGTCTGCAATTAGTTGTTTTTTAAATATTTTTTCTATTTTTGTAGTTGTTTAAAGTAGGAGAAAAAACTCATTTTTGTTAGACCATTTTGACTGAAGTAGAAATTCTATTATATGTTTTGGAAAGATTTTCATAAAATATTATTAAAAGAAAAAGAGATTTCAATATTTTAATGGTTTAACTTCAGCAATGTGGGAATCCTCATTTGTGTCGATATCTCATTTATTCATGATACAAAGTTTAACAATATTTATGATATTATAACTATTGTATGCCAGGTATCATGGTACACATTAAATTTCTATTAATTCAGTTACATTTTTTCCTAACATTATGAAGAAGATGCTTTTATCATTACCATTCACATATGGGAAAACTGAGAAACAAGTAGACTAGTTTTCCAAAGTGTACAGGGCAAATGAAAAACCACATTTTTGAATAAGTTATTCTCTGTTCAAATGCTACATTATTGACTAATGCAGTATGAAATACTTCCTCAAGAAAGGTGTAGCAGTATAATCTCTATTATGTTAACATAAGTTAATAATAAATTTAACTTATTGACTAGATTTGCCTTTTAAAATTTATTTCTTATTAAACTTTTAAAATAATGTAACATTTTTATCCTTTGATGTATAACAAATTATATGTATGTATGCATACAGCTTCCCTGGAGGAGGCTATATAGTGAAAACAAATCTCCAGTTCACTTCAGAGTTGATATTTATTTTCTTGGTTTACAAACAATTATCAATTATATTAATTGAAAATGTGATGATTACTAGATGAAGAAACTCATTTGCATGTTTTAGTTAGGCACATTTAATCTTTCCTAGATATATTTTTGAAGTAATTTTAGGTAGTTTTTTTTTTTAAACATTTAATGTCATAGTCTATACAAAGGCCATCATTACTAGTTGAATATATTAGGTACTATAAATGAGGTTTTAATTCCATCATATATTTGATTTGTGATATGGTGATCCAAATGTTTCGATAATTTAGAAATATTAAATTTCCAAATGCCATGAAACATCAACACAGGTTTTAGAGAAGAATATACTTTCAGTAAGTTTCAAACTTTTTTTATTTTGATTTTTCAGATTGCATTCTCACAACACAATACAATCATGGATCTTGTGCAGTTTTTTGTCACCTTCTTCAGGTAATTTACTTGCTGACTTTGAACTTGTTACGCCTATATATTCTGATATATGTCCTCTCATTCGCTTAGATAGTTGATAATTATTTAACTTAAAATATCATATCACATGTCTTGAATAGTTTTATATACTTAAATATATACCACAGAGCAGAGGAAACATAGCTGAAATATACTTGTGCAAGATTATTTTACTGTTACACTATTTAATAACTGATATATTCAGTGTAAAGAGGATAACTTTGTATCCCCATTACAGAAATAATTAAAACCTGCTTTAATTAATGAAATTAACGGTGCACTCACTACATGCAATGTTATATCTACTGTAGTTAAATCAATAAAACTATTTCTTAGGTAATTATTATATGTACTTAGCACTTGCTAAAGTTAGTGGTGAGAAAAGTATGTATTTTTGTCCTTAAGGAACTTACAATCTGAATGTAATATATATGACTTTGAATATAGCATCACTTATTAGATCATTAATTATGTGACATACTAATAATAGGTCCATTAAAAAGGGCTCCATAATTAAACAACTTTGGAAAATGTGTATACTAAAGTTAAATGGGGTTCTTTTGGTTGGTTTTCAACTGACATTGCAAGTTTTTTTTTTTTTTTCAACGTACTAATTTGCAATGTGTCTTTCTAGAAAAGAGAGAGTATATTCTATAGCATTTCTCAAACATGAACTCTTTTCGGGGAACATTTATTTCCATTTCCACGGTATGTAGTAAATTTAAAAAAACGCTGGATTAGGAGAAAAGACTGAGTTTCAATAATAGAATATCTGTGTTGTAGGATTTTAGATTCCCTGAATTGAAAGAGGTGGTATTTCTGTTAAAAATCTGTGATGGATATTTGCAGCTTATGCTGATCCTTGGAGTGCTTTTGTGCAAATTAGACAAATGTGACTTCTTCTGGCAGACATAGCTCCACATCATGGCATACAAGTTTGAAAACAATGTAGTGTGAGTTTTGACTAACACTCACCAACTTGACTGGGCTGACTTGTATAGTAAAGATTTGTACAACTCAATCCTTGATACAGATGACATGTCAGGCATTTTCATAAACACCAAGTAACCATTATCCTGTTGGTTGTCTTGTCCAGAAATCTATGTAATTCCTAATACTTTTTTCAGAGGAGTCTGCAAACATTTTCTGTTTAGTGCTAGATAGTAATTATTTCAAAAATTTTGGGCTATTTGGTCGCTGTTGCATCAATGTAACTCTGCAGCTATTGTGCTAAAGCAGACAGAGCCAATATGGAAACAAATGGGAGTGACTGAGTTCCAATAAAACTTTATTATGAAAACATCTGGTGGGCTGAATTTGGCCTGTGGACATAATTTGCCCAACCTCTGATCTAGTTTATATCTAAAATGGCTTTAATGACAGGAAACTCACTAGCGCCTAAGATGGCATTTTCTATCATCAGATAACTAATTGTTCTTTATAATTGAGCTGAAATCTGTCTCCCTATTATATCTCTCCTAATTCATCCATATGGGCCCATACATAACAATTCCAATCTCTCATCTCCATTTACAGCCCTTCAGATTGTTAAACCCTTTTTCTAATTTACACATTCCTTGTTTATCTACTTCTCTTGACAAAACCTTTTCCATATTGGTCAGTTTACTCTGAAGACAATCATGTTTACTGAAGCTTCTTAAAAATTATAATTTTGATTATTAAATGTTATAAACATATTTATTACTAATATGGGTAGAGTATACTTTATACTTTAAATTTGTTGCTTAAAAATGAAGTTTAAGGCAACATCTTAAATATATTTGGTGTTTTATAACTTGTTCTTCAAAATATAAGTGAATTTTAAGATTATTAACAAAGATATAACATGTTTTTAGAAAATAATAGAAGTTACAATTGACTTAGTAATATTGAATGTATTAAAAATACTATGCAGAACAATTTGGGTAAAAATTTGCTGAAAAGTTTGGTTATGTATAATAATTTACAAAGTATAATATATACGTAAATTATTTAAATGTTGAGTGTTTTAAGCTTTTGAGTTTGTGTTCATATTTAAATTCAGCAGCTCTATTATTTAGTGAAAGAAAACTAGTATTAATATGTACCATGTCTTAGAGATCATCCTATTTATTAGGCTGTCGTCATGGACAAAGTGAAATAAAATATTCTAATCATTGCATGAGATAAAATATATTTGATGGGTTTTTTGTCATTTAAATTTTTTCCAGTAGTGAAATGTAAATTAGATCATTTAAAAATTATCTCATTGTTAAGAATAACATGAACAGAATATTTTTAAGTTTATTAATTATCAATTTTTATAAGGCCACTGCTTAATTTTAAGAGATTTTTAAGCAAGTTACCCTTTATTGATACCCTTCAATTAGGCCGTAATTGCTGCTATTGCTGTTTATAATCCAGTTGTCTGAGTAGCAGAGGTGAATGTTGCAATTTTTCAATTTAGCCATAATTCTATGAGGGAGCAGGTCTCAAATGCTGTGTCAGTTTTTTATCTTTACATTGTGCACATGGTAAACATAATTGGGTCACTATTAAGGAGATCATTTTTAAACAGAGCCTGGCTCTGATCTTAATATTTTCTGCCATCTTAAGCATGTCATTATCTCTGTTTGTGGTGCTATAGAAGAATATATGAGGCTGGGTAATTTATTTTATTCGAGATTTATTTATAAAGAGATTTATTTGGCTCATTTTCTGCAGACTGTCTAAGAAGCATGGCACTAGCCTCTATACCTAGAGAGGGTTCTCAAGCTGCTTCCACTTATGGCAAAAGAAGGGGATCTGGGATGTGGAAGGATCACATGGGGAGAGAAGAAGCAAGAGAGAGGAAGGAGGTCATAGACACTTTTAAACAGCCAGCTCTGGGACCTAGCAGGGTGAGAACTCACTCATTACCTTAGGACAGCACTGTGACATCCTTGCAGGATCTACCCCCATGATCCAAACACCTCCCATTAGAATCTACCTCTAGCATCAGGAATCAAATTTCAGCATGAGGTTTGGAGGGTCAGATATTCAAATGATAGCATTCTACTTCTGGCACCCAAAACTCATGTGCTTCTCACTTACAAAATACAATAATTTCTTGCCTGAGCCCACGGATTCAAGACCCGCCTGGGCAGCGAGACCTCATCTCTACAATAAATCAAAAAATCAGCCGGGCATGGTAGCGCATGCCTGTAATTCCGGCTACTTGGAAGGCTGAGGGGGAAGGATCGCCGGAGCCCAGCAAGTCAGGGCTGCGGTGGCCGGGAGCGGCCACTGCACTCCAGTCTGGGCGACAGAGTGAGACTCCAACTCAAAAAAACAAAACAAAACACAATACAATCATTCCATCCCAATTCTTCCTAAAAGTTTTAACCTGCTCCAGCATCAGCTCAAAAATCCATAGTCCAAAGTCTCATCTGAGATTCAAGGCAGGTACCCTTGAGCTTGTAAAATCAAAATCAAGTTATTTACTTCCAAGATACAATGGTGGAACAGACACTGAGTAAACACTCTTGTTCTCAAAGTGAGATATTGGCCAAAAGAAAGGGACCAGGGCCCATGCAACTGTGAAACCCAGCAGGGAAGACATTATACCTTTCAGTTTCAAAATGGTCTCCCTTGACTTTATGTCCTGTATGCCCAATAGTGTGAGGGGTGAGTTCCCATGGCACTGGACTACCTTGCCCCCTTGGCTTTGCCAAGCACAGCCCACATGGCTGCTCTCCCATGTTGGAGTCTGGTGCCTGCAGCTTTTCCAGGCTGAGGTTGCATGTTGTTGGTGGCTCGATAGTTCTGGGGGTCTCTGCAGTGACCTTGCTCACACAGTCCCACTAGGCAGTGCCCTGGAGGGGATTCTCTTCAGAGGTTTCAACCCCATGTTTCCTCTCAGCTTGGTATCAGTAGAATCTATCTGCTGGGGCTTCACCCTTGTGGTATCACCCTTGAGATAGAAAGCCTCAAGGCCTCAACGATTGCCTTCAGGGTCTTTTTCCCATTGTTTTGACTATCAGTACCTGGCCCCTTTTATCCATGTTAATCTCCAGCAAGGGCTTGCTCCTCAACACTCTTGGATTCCTCTCCCGAAACCACTCTTTCCTTCTCTAGCCCATGATCAGGCTGAGAATATTTCAAATATTTATGCCCTGCTTCCCTTGTAATTATAAATACCAACTTAGATCATTCTTTTGCTCCTCTATCTGATCACAAGCTGTTAAAAGCAGCCATGCCACTTTTCAAATGACTTTCTGCTTAGAAATTTCTTCCACCACGTACCCTTGGTTCTCACTCTTAAGTTTGGCTTTCCACTCTTAAGTTTGCATGGACACAATGCAGCCAAGTTCTTTGCTATGGCATAACAAGGGTGACTTTTGCCCCATTTCCCAATAAGTCCCTCATTTCTTTCTGAAATCTCCTCATCATGGCCGTTACTGTCTGTATTTCTATCAGCACTTTAGTTACAACCACTTAACCAGTGTCTAAGAAGTTCCAAGCATTCCCTCATCCTCCTGTCTTCTGAGCCCTCTAAACTCTTCCAACCTCAGCCCTTTACCCAGCAGGTCCAAAGCCACTTCCATGTTTTCAAGTATTTTTATAGCAAGCTCCCACTTCTTGGCACTTATTTTATGTTTCAGTCCATATGTGTTGCTATAAAGGAACACCTGAGGCTGAGTCATTTATGAAGAAAAGTGGTTTATTTGGCTCACAGTTCTGGAAGCTGTGCAAGAAGTATGAGGCCAGCATCTCCCGGTAAGAGCCTCAACCTGCTTCCACTCATTGTGGAAGAGGAAGGGGACCTGGCATGTACAGAGATCAAATGGTGAGACCGCTGTCCAAGAAGTGAGAGAAAGAAGCGGGGTATCAGGTATCAGACTCTTTTTTTTTTTTTTTTTTTGAGTTGGAGTCCAACTCCATCGCCCAGGCTTTTATGCAGTAGCACGCTCACAGCCATCCCAGCGCCGACCTGCTGGGCTCCAGCAATCCACCTCAGCCTT